GTCTTCTCAAAGAACTACTGCTGGAATGCCAAGGCTGGAAGTGGAGGTGATGTATTATGTATTAAGGTGCCTCACTGGGGCTGGTGGGAAGCTGGCCTTCCAGAATATTAATATCTCATTTGTTTCCTTCTAAGGATCCATCCTCAAGGGTAGGGGAAGATGTGCCCCTCTGCTGTGTGCTTGTCTCTACATAATTTTTCTCACCTGACTTTGTGTTGGTGGCTGGTGTAGAGTCGTGTCACTGCTGGGATTTCACTGAGCTGTTGGAGGAGGCTTAACCGGTTGAGGTCTGTTTATCTGAAGTATGTGCTGTAGAAGTATCAGCTCTCCAATTCATTTGGTTGAACTGGGCAAGGACAATGTGAGATGAAATGAAGGCTTTTTTTTCTGGGCTTGTGTGCAAAAGTAGGAGTTGGAGCTCTGCAGTGTATTATCTGCTGGCTTTTGTATTCAGCACAAGTAATGAGGCTTGGATAGCATACATTAGCACTCTGTAACATAGCACTTGATGGCTGGCAGTTGTTTGACTTGAGTGTTTTGGCTAAATACTCACAATAAAAGATTTGCAGTGGTTTTGTCCATTTTCCGTATCAATTGTTGATGAATTGTTGGTGAATTGCAGAGCTGAGCACATCAGGACTGTACAGCCAGTCAGAGCTGGTATCAAGCTCGTGCTTGGAGGTGTTAGAAGCTCTGTTCAAAGGCTAGACAGTGATTTGTCTAAGGCTGACCTGTTCATCTCCTGTGCTCTCTGCTATGTGATGCATGCAGCTGCTTCAGCTTCCGAGTATGAGTGTCCTTTCAGTGTGGAAGAAGGAATGTTAGGCTTATAATTCAGTGAGTTGAAAACTTGATGCTTTTTTCTCACTGTTTCAACAATTCAGGGAAAAACAAAGGCAGAAAATAACGATGTTTGGGTTTGTTTCTTTTTTGGGGGGGTTGTTTGTCTAAGTAAACTGGTGAGATGAATCTAAACAGCCATCTGAGGGAGTAGCTGCATACAACTCAGACAGAGGGGGGAGTTTAATCCTTTGCAGTATGTGCCCAAACCCACTGGTCCATGCAAGAACTGCTATTGAAGGAGACACATCTGCTCTGCTCTCTGCTGGTCCCCTTCAAGCCTGCCCTGTTGGAGTGACTGTAAGAGCCTGGAGTTCCTCTGAACTGGCTTTGTCAGGCCCCCCAAGAACTGACCTCAAACAGGTCTGTAGAATTCACAAGGAGGGGTGAATGGTTTAATAGCTCCTGCTAGTGCTAATTGTATGGAGCAGGGAAGCAGTCTGGTTCAGGAAGATCCAACTGAGTCTGTGAGGCTTCTTCAGCTGGTGTGCAATTTATATTTATTCCCCTCAGCTTCCTGACTTGCCCACAGTGGTAGATGGTTCTTACCTTGTTGTGCAGCTCCTGGAGATGCCCAGTTTTGGCCCCTGTTTACAGCCTAGCAGTCCTCAGTGTATATCTCTAGCCTACCAGGTGTTAAAAGAAAACTTACCGTTTTCCATGCTAAAGATAAAGCTCCCCGGCTGCCTGCAGTTGTGCTGCCTTTGTGGCTGGGGGAACTGCATCTCCTGGGATTTGTTGTTATTAAGTGCAGGGGAAGTAGCTGGCACTGTCTCTTGCCCTCAGTGTGTGCTTCCTATTTGAAGCAAGGATTAGTTTTCCACCCAGAGCCTGGCCAGTGTTTGGCAGCTGTTCTCCAGGGCTTTGGCTTGGAGGATTCCAGGTGAAATCTGGGGACAAGGAGTTCCTGCGGCATGAAATATTGAGTTACTAGCTTCAAGCTAGTAGCAAAAAAAGCTTAAGCTTACTACAGAGTAGGTGCTTGGTCAGGGCAGTGTGCTCCAGACTGCTTTTATTGCTTGGCTAAGGCTGGAGAGCAGGCTGACTATAAAAATAGCCAGATGGGAGGATAGATGTATAACTCAATGCGGCTTGAGTAACGAACTGCTCTGCAGCCAGATACCTGCTGGAACCTGTATTGCTTCTGCCTTGAGTGGAAGTGCTACAGCAAGATGTCAAACTCTGCTTAAGGAGATAGCCAGGTCACTGCTGTTCATACACTGTCTAATCCAGCCTCTTCCTAAAGCTAAGCAGATTTTAAGCTTTGACTAATCTCTTTGAAGTGTGAACTTGTGCCATTATCCTGCAGCAAGCTCTGTGCTACTATCTCCTGCTTTCACTGAATGTAAAGGTCTAGGTTAGCTTGGATCTAGTTGTTGTGGATTTCCTGTGCAAATAACTCACCAATATTATTTTTGCCCTATAGAAATGTAGGATTATGGCCAACAGGGTTTTTCAGATGGGAGAAACAGCATGAGGCTGCCCAAAGGACCCCAGGAATTCCTGTATCAGGCCAGTACTGACTGCCCACATTATCTGCTAGCCAGGAGGAAAAGCTCTTAATAGTTTTTTTACATTTTAATTAATGGATCTCTAAAAGCAGCCTTTCAGGAAGCAGCTTTCCCTCTTATTCACTGACATTCCTGATCCTAGTAAAGATGTAGTAAGCTTGTTGGGAAGAGATTAACATTTTAGTTCTTCTGCTAACCACCTCCTGAATCTTAGGCTGTTGGAGAACCTAGAGCTAGAAAACTATGAATTATCTATACAAATGTGTACATGTGCATAATGTATATGACTGCAAGGGAAATGCCATGGCTGTTTTTCAAGTGCAGCTGGAGTTCTGTTTAGGTTTATCCACTGCTAAAAGCATTTGTGCAGCCTAAAGACTCCTGACTTCTTGAGAAACTATATTTAGTGCCAAAGTATTTTTTTTATTTACAAAACCTGATTTCTTGATGTTTTAGTATTTCTGATCTTAACAGGCCCTTGCTAAAGGGGTGTGAGGTGAACATGATTTATATTCAGCAGCATGGCAAGGGAGATGAATGTAGTTGGGCACTAACAATTTAACTGGCATAATATACTCTTTATGCACTTTTGTAATTAAAAAGCACTAAGGATTAGCCTGAAAGAAGAGCTAAATGTTGTCAGTTTTCAACTATTTTTAGGCAGAGAGGAGATAGATGGGTGGCCACCCATCCTTCAGAGGAGAGTTGCTAAAAATAGAGTGGAAGGTGTCTGTGTGTGTAAACAGCTTTGTGGTGGTTTCTGCTTGTCCCTGAGCACCTGGTATATGTGTGGCCTATGATGGGGAATTATTCCAGCAGCTCAAACTGCTGGGCCAGGGCTGCAGGGAGAGTGGAAAAAATGACACAGTGCCCTGAAGGCTCAGCCAGATGCTAGAGCCTGCAGTGGTTGACTGTCCTGTGTTGCTGTACTGTGTGTACAAATGCAAGTAATACTTCCTATGTGCTGTTTGGGTAGGGAAATGAGAAGTCTGGCAAGATGAGGGATTGAGCCTGGTGCCCATGAGCAAGACTGCAGAGGGTAGTCTTTGCTATTTGGGAAGAGACTAAGGGGTTGTTCTGACAACCCCAATCTCTTTCCTTATTAATATTTCTTAGTCTTGCAGCCTGAAGATAAAGGGGAATTCATTTGTGAGTCATAGAATCTTATCTAGTTCCAGCCCCACTACCATGGGTACCTTCCACTAGACCAGGTTGCTTCAAGCCCTATCCAACCTGGCCTGGATGGGGCATCCACAGCTTTTCTGAGCAACCTGTACAAGTACCTCATCACCAGCACAGTCAAGAATTACTTTCTAATGTAGAAACCTGCTTTCCTTCAGCTTAAGGCCATTTCCCCATGTCCTGTTACTCCATGGCCTTAAGACTCTATCCAGCTCTCTTGGAGCCCCTTCAGGCACTGGATGGTGCTCTAAGGTCTCCCCAGAGTCTTCTCTCTGGGGGACAGCCCCAACTCTCTCAGCTTCTCTTCACAGGAGAGGTGTTCCAGCCCTGTGATGGACTTGGTGGCTCTTCTCTGGGCTCATTTGAACAGGTCAATGTCTTTTTCTCATGTTGGGTGCCCCAGATTAGGATGCAGTACTGGAAGAATATACTAGAGAAGGTAAATTAAGCTGTTGATGATTGGAGGCTTCTTGCAGTAGGGCTTGACTGTGCTTCCTCCTGGAGCTGGGAGGAGGACCATACCAGACCTACTGTGTGCATGAGAGTAGTGTTGACCAGCTGTCCTGGATGGGATGAGTGGGACCTTGGATGGGATTATCTTCTGGTGTGGAGTGGTGGTGCAGCAAAGCCAGGATCAAGAGGCACCTGCTTGGGGCAGGTGTCTGGGCACAGGCCAGGTCTGTCTGTCCAGCAGCCTGAGCTGTGTGACTGGAGGCAGCAGAACCTGCCAAGAGCAGGCTGTCAGCTGGCTGGATCACTGCTGGGCTACTGGTTCAGTGCTCTCTTGGAAACTCTGGAAGCACACAATGATTATAGACATGAAACTTTCTGGAAGTGCCTCCATGGTGCAGTGCAGCACAGACATTGTGCTAATGCAGCAGTGCTGCTGTCTGGGCTGTAGCCTTCCTCTGTGGGGCCAAGAGCCTCATACAAGACATGGCACTGATGCAGCCCTAAAGCCTCCTTTTGTGTTTTTGGTCCTGTGTTATAGACCCACCTCTGTGCAGGTTCCTTAGTGTCAATGCACATGACAGTGCTTGCCATAACAAACCTGAGTCTTCATAGCCCTGACAAGCATCATTTTGGGACTTGATAAAGGACAAACAGGTTGATCATCACCATATGCTTTCGAGTCTGATGCTTACTGGGTAGACCATAGCACTCTATTGCTGTGGGAGGTGGGGAGAGCTAGACAAGGTCTATCTTGTTCTTCAGATCAATGTTTGACTTTTGTCTGGCATCTTCAGATGTAGGATAGGAACAACAAAATAGATGGAGTGATCCCTTGCTTGGAATGTGTAGCAGGTGTTTGCTGACAACTGGCTGTAGACTTGGTCACCCAGTTACTTAAGGCCCTGAGTCAGTGGGTGGTTATGGGTATGTGTAATCTTGGTTCCTTTCTCCCTTTCTAGGTCTTGCACTCTGGATTTTTCAGCCTTACAGGCTTCTGGACACATCTCTTCAGCCATGAGGAGGTCAATAGGATTTAACATCTGTGTGGTTACCTGCAGCATCCTGCTCTTGTCTTCCAGCCTGCCATGCCTTTCATCTCAGCCACTGGAGGAGAGGGACATGACAAAGGTCCAGAATGGTCTCTGGGCAGGCAATGGGCTGGAAGATGAAAGGACAGGCTTGGTGGACTTGAAAAATAATCTGGGCCCTTCTGAGCCAACAGTCTCTGAGGAGCCATGTGAAGTGTCAGTGAAGCCAACTGAGATGCCCTTAAATGAAGCTTACACTGCAGAAGAAGCACTCCCTGTGAGCCTGAGCCATGTCATCCCTGTAAGCCCAACCCTTGCCATCCCTGCCAGCCAGGACCTGGGTGATCACAGCTCTGTTGGGGTAGTGGCTGCTGTGGATGAGGAGGAACTTGGTCCCACAAAGTCAGAGCTGGATGAGGACGATGCCCTTAAGGCCATGCTAACCACAGCTGTGACCACACTGAGCCCTGCTGTCCAGGAGGAGTCTGTTGGTGGCCCAGTCAGTGAAGCCACCACAGAGGGTGGTGTGACAGCAGAGCACAGCTCTGCTGGCTCCTCACCAAATCCTCTTTCTGGGACAACTGTGGAGGAAGAGGAAGCAGAAAGCAGCTCACACCCCTCAGCTGCACCCCAGCCCACACTGTACCCCAGCTCTCCCAGCTGGGAAACAGCAAGTGAGCACCCAGCCCTCCCAACTGCTCAGCCTCGTGGTGTGACCTCTAAGATGGGAATGGCAGGAACCCGCACAGGGAGCCCTCTGAGAGCCCTGGTTCCACCAGCATCTGTGGCTGCCAAACATCCCCTTGTGGTGACTGAGGCCTCCCTTCCCCCAGAAGCAGGGACAGGTGCCACACAAGAGCTGCCCACCATGGCTGGCACTGTCACCATCCACCCTGTGGACACTGTGCCCCCTGACTGGGATGACACAAAACTGGGGGGCATCAGTCAAGGGGCAAGCATGTTTCATGAGGAGGTGACAGAGGATCTGGGGACAACAGAGCCATCCCAGACCCCACAGGGAGGTGTGGTGGAGGAAGAGGATGCAACAAGAGCACTGCCATTCCCAGTGTCCTCTCCGCCAGCACCCGAGCTTGCCAAGGAGACCAACTGCACAGCAGTGGTGCAAGGGGAGGAGCTGCAGGCAACTTCCACAACCAGCAGTGACGTTCTCCATGCTGGGAATCTAACGGATGTAGACACAGCTGATCTTGGCTTGCTGGAAAACATAAATGCAGTCACAGCAGAGGAGGAGAAAAGCATCCCACCATCACAGCCGGAGGCTGCTGTGCTGACAGATACACAGTCTGAGCTCTCTCCTACTCTGGAAAGTTCATGGAGAGGTAAAACTTGCCTGTCACAGATACTTGCCTCTAAGTATAGGTTTAGGAGGGATGCTCTTGGAATTTGTGCTTCCTGTCAGGGAGATAAAGGGGAAAGGTGTGACCTTGATGCCTGCAATAGAGGTAGGGCATCTTTTTCCCCCAGGAAAGGCTATGGAGTTCTGTGGAGGGGTAACAGCTCAAATGGGTCATTCACATCCATAATGTACTGCCAATTGTGTGCTGTTCGTGTATGTGATGTCCCTGTGCACAGGTAGGCACAGTCTTTTGGGTGGTCCCCTGTCCTGGCTGTTAGTGAAGCAGCTGTATTGAGCTGCTCCTCAAGCTGAGAGTGTGGCTGTAGGAACAAACAGGAAAGCTGAGAGTGGAAAGGCTGTGGCAGCTGAATCTGGGCCTGAAGGATGTGCTTGGGGGGTGGTGGTCGCTGCACAGAGTTGAAGTCTCATCAGCATAGCTTTAGTGCTAATTTTAAAACTCCCTTTGTTAATGTTCTTTGGCTTTCGTGCTTGGGAGAGGACAGCTGTAGTTGGGCTGTAGGCATCTTGCCTTGACCAGAGATGTAAATCTGCGTTGAATAACCCTCTAAATGCTTTCCCTGTGGGTAGGGAGGGAGCCCAGCCTCTGACCCACTGGCTAAGCACTTTATTTTAAGGAGGATAATACTCCCACAAGAGTCCCTTTGATATGGCAAGTGCAAGGACCCAAAGCATCCTTGCACTAGCTCACTCTGAAGCCCTGCAAAACAGGGGGATATAATTCTTGGAGGGTTAAATTAATTAGCATCTGGGATCACTTGGCTCTCAACTGCTAGTGATGGATACTTGCAGTCAGTGTAGAAGAGGCCATGGATGACTAAAAATGCTTTTTAAATCCAGGAGTAAGTGAGCTGTACCAGTAGCTTGTAAATGACATCTTCTGTGACTCTACATGGATGCTCAAGTCGGAAGATCTGTCCAGGGTGCTGCTGTCCCTTGTAACAGAAGCTTCTGATGTTGTCTCCCCACCCTGGAGTGAAGCTGTGGCCATGCTCTGGCTGTCCAGTGCTTGTGCCAGCTCTGTTACCAGCAGGCAGGAATCTTCTTCCTGAGCAGCCAGCCGCAGGCTGTTGGTGTCACCCTACTCTGTGCATACCTGCAGAGATGGCACCTTCAGCCTCATCAGTGTTCCTACCCAATATTTAAAATATAGGGGGAATACCAAAAAAAGGTCTGGTCAGGTGATAGACAATGACATGTTTCTAGGCTGTTGAGGAATGTGAGTTGGTATTTAGGACTTGGTAATTGCTGGGCATCTTTAATCTTGCCTCTTAGGCTACAGAGGCAAAAGAACTATTTCCCTTCATTGTATCCAAAAGACCTACTTTTTGCTGTAAAAGAAGGAAAGCTAATTGCAGCCTGGTGCTGAAAACTAACTAATTTATAGATTAATTTATAACACTTGACTTGTCAGCAGGTTCCCTCTCTGCTGTTTCCCCGATGTTGGGGAAACAGCACTGTCAGTCAGACTTGTGCAAGAAAAATAAACCCTCCTGTGAAGCTGAAGTCCTGTAGCCATGTGAACTGGTCACTTAAAGCTGCAGTGATGTCTGGACCTGCTTCTGGCTCTGTGGCTCTGGAATTGTTAATGCATGGAGTTACACTCCTTTAAAGGTGTGCTCTGTTGCTGTCAGCTGTCCTGTGAGTTGGTACTGACATGTGTTCTTGCCGTAGGTGTTACTCAGGTGGTGACAACAGTTGCCCAGGAGGCTGATGCTGCTGTATCAGTGGCAACAGTGGTGCCTGGTGCTACCCAGGGAGCAGAAGCTGCAAGCTTTCCTCAGGAGAACAGTGGGGAGGACACCCAGATGCTGACTGCTCCAAGTGCCACTGAGGTGCTGGTGGTAACTGGTGCTTCCTCTACGGTGAACACTCTGGATGTTGAAGGTAGGGTTCTGCTCCAGGGTCTCATCTCCACATGAGATGAGATGGTCCCTCTGAAACCAGTATCAGTGCTTACTTACTCCAGTCTCAACACAGAGCATTCATATTATAAATGACTTTTGCTGGTCTTCTGCAGGTCTCCTCTAGCCCAGGACTGCCACTGCTTTCTGCCTGTGCTATGAGATCCACCATGCTGAAATTTGCCAGCATGGGGTTGTTTTTTTCCCTTAAATAAGTGGAGTAGAGATTTAAAAAATGCCCCAAACCAAACACCCCCCCTATCTATCCTTACTAGCAAGCTGCCTTTTAGCTTTAGACATTTAAACCATTTTTTATTTTTGGAAGGAGAGCTCTTACTTGTGGAGCCCAAGGCAGTCACAGATTGCTGATGCTTAGTCCAAAGGATGAAAATGTTTCATCGGGGTAACATGGGAGCAGTGAGGAGGGGTACATACTCTCTTCAAGAGTCTGGCAAGCCCTTGGGTGTGGAAGCCTGCATTGATATTCACTTCCATTGAGGAATGGTGAATTCTTCTCAGGTTGATGTATCTCATACTGAAATGCTTTAAGCAGTCATGTTCATGAGGCTGCTGCCTGCTGGCTTGATGTCACCTTGGCAGGTACATGGAGGGGCCTGTCTTGCTGACAGGAGTGTAGCAATGGATCCCTCAGCACAAGGCTAACTTTGAGCTGGAGTGTGTTTCTGTAGTGGTAGGTATCGCTGTAATGAAACTGCTGCTGGGGTGCTTTTCTGATAATTCTCATTTCAGGGCATCAAAAGAAAAACCTGCATTGTATCTCTTAATTTAAGGTCCCTTTGTAGGGGAGAGAAAGTTCTTCTGGCAGTTTCCACTAATTAATTTGCTTCTGGGATTTAATTATAAATTCAACCGAGTTCTATCTTTGTAATAAACAATTAGATCTGTCACTTGGTTCAGATCTTAACCAGTGTCTTCGTGCTCTGATCTTGTGATGGTGTGTGGTGACTAGTAGTCCTCAAAGCAATGGAATTGAAACCTTTCTTATGGGTTTCCCCCTCATTAAGGGGATCCTCCTGTGCTGGCAGTCCTTGAGGAAAAAACTTCATTATAGCAGAGTTATATATTAATTTCTACTCTGACTTAAGTTTTCATTAAGGACTTCTTAAATGATGTTTTTCTAAAATATTGTTGGGCCAATTGTTGCTGTTCCCTGTCTTCTGTAGATCTCACAGATGGGATCCTGGTCACCAGTGAGAAGGCTGTTCCAGCTCCTGGTGGCATGTCTTCTACCCCATCTGGACAGACAGAGGAGCCATCCAGCAGAACTGTGGTCCTGGTAACTCCAGCATCAATGGCATCTTCTGTCAGAAGAACAGCTCTTCCATCTGTGAGGAGGATCAGCACAGCTGTGACCTACGGACTGGACCGCCTGGAGTCAGAAGGTACCCCTGAGGCTAAGAGGCAGGCAGATTCCTGTGGAGTCACACACCTGCCTTGATGCTGAGGCCCCAATCTGTCTGTTTGGCACACAGCTATGTGCATATCTCATTGTTCCTAATAAAGTTGTTGATCAACCTGTCCTCACCCAGGAGGCACAGGAAGCAAGCAATGAACAGTGTCATCGGGGATGCCTGAAACTCAAGTGGTTGTGGTGGGATTTTTTTTTCCTTGGCTAAGGAGCAGAGGTAATATTGCTGTTGCAGTAGAGTCTGATTCTGCACACCTATAACTGCTGGTGCAGTGCCTCTGTACTAGGCAGCACTCAGTAATATGTTTGGACAGCTGGAGAACCCTTGCCCAGCCCACTGCTGCCATCCTCACCATGTGGAGTGCTGGGGGATGTTCAGCATGAGCTGACACCTCTGTCCAGCTGGCTGGAACCCTACTGGAACAAATGATGCCCTATTTACACCTATCAAGAGATGCTTAGGTGAAGTAGATCCTACTATAGGGCTGGTCTGCAGCTCTGATCTGTTATCTCTTCAGTTCATCCATGATTTTTTTTCTGCAGAGAATTTTCTTGCTCTTTCTTCTACTTGATTTCTCTGCTTGCTCATCCATCCAGTTTTTGTACTCCAGTGTCTGGACTGATACCACCTGGCAAGAATTAATCTTTCTGCCTGCTTTTGCTCCCCTTCCTTCATCTTGACCTTCTCCTGCCTTCGTATTTTACTGCAAAGGTTGGCAGCTCTCCAGGGGTGGCATTGCCAGATGGTATTTCTCCTCTGAGTAAAGGTAGGGTGCCATAGACAACAGCTCATCAGCATCTTTTCTCTGCAGGAAGCAATAACTCTCACTCCTGTTAAGTTTAGAGGGCAGCAGAAGCTGGGAGTTCTCCCCACTGCATGTGCAAGGCTTGCTGCCTGCTTTGAAACCTGTCCTGAGCTCTCTGGGACTCCAACTACAGCACTTTTCCCTTGCCAGGATCAATCTTGTTTGTGGCAAGGCAAAAATGTGGTGCTGATGGGAGAGTAGCAGCTGGGGAAGAAGGGCATATGTGTGGGGGGAAACCTCTTTCAGGCTGAGAAATAAGGTCTCTGCTTAGCAAGGGCAGTATGATTCAGGAGGCTAAAAGGTTTTATAGCCCTCTGGGATCTCCTTCAGAAGCCTGGGCTTCTGCACAGGAAGATAAGAGGGATTTCTGTTTCAACTGAGCATTGGTCTGTCTCTATTTAATGAGACTTTCTGCACAGGCATTTAACAAAAAGTATCTTTCTGCTCCAATATAGGACTGATGTGACTTTCTTGGATTCCT